AAAATCGGCTGATGTAGGAGTAAAGCTAAGCGCCTCGTTGCAAATGTCTTGGTTTATATCAACCAGATCCTCCAGACTGGGGAATGGTGAGCACTGTTTTTGCAGGGAGTCAGCGAACACCTCGGCTTTGTCGGAATCTAACATCAGAGTGGTACTTCTAGCTTTGATGGAGGGGATCGCTGTTTTCCTATTCCGGAGCTTCTTTATTACCTTCCAGGCACTTTTTGGGTGGGTTTCAGCCTTCTTTAATGAAGAGGTTGAACTTTTTGCTGTGAAATTCGATTAGCTGAGATTGAACCTTAAGCTGGAGTAAGTTAAGGAGAGCCTGGAGATGAGTGGTACGGCGACGCTGCCAAAGTCTTCGAATCTTGTTTTTTTTTGATACGAGGTCTTGAATCTTGACAGGAAGTTTAAGCCGAGACTTTTTTTGTGTTATTAAAAATTATTTGTTAAACAGAGTGGCCAGTAAGCACCTCGTTCATCGGGTAATAGGCATTTATGTTATAAATAACTATTTTTTAACTGAAGTGGCCAGTAAGCGTCCAGAGTCATTGGGTGATAGGTGCTTTTGTTACTTATAATTAAGTATTTATTTATTGGAGTGGCCAGCTTATTAGAGTCACCAAGAGGTGGCCAAGTTCACTGCAGATTTTATCTCCATGGTTAGGGCGTCAACTGCAGAGTCTAGTTCAACGGGGTTTGATATTTTGCTGCATTTAAACGAGGACTTCTCATGGTGGTATCTCAGGTGTAGCCAATTTAACTTAAGTGTTAGAATTGGAGAGAATTGAGGAGTCAGTAGGACCTCAAATAGAACCGGGAGATGATTTTACGATACGAACGCTGGGATCTTTGGCCAAGGAGATCTTGCAAGATATCCCGATGTCTAGTATGTCGGGCTCGTGGTCAGAGTTTTCCGAGTAGTGTGTGGGTTCCAATAGCACTTCTAGAGTCAGTTGATGATCGACAAGTATCTTCAGGAGGGCGTTGCCTTTAGTGTTGGTTTTCGCACAGCCCCAGGAGACGTGCTTAGCGTTAAGATCGCCTATTACTAGCGCAGGAGTGGTACCTTGGGAAAAACCTGGAAGATACGTCAGGTCTATGTCCAAGGGTGGTGAGTATAGGGAGAACACTCTGATTGGTGATATCGACGTGTGTATCTCTACCCCGACTGCCTCACTGGCAGCGAAGTCGGTTTGGACGGCTGAGTGACGGGTGCCTTTGCGGACGAGGATGGCGGCACCACTGCAAGACTTCTCATTTGGACGATCTTGTCTGTAGATAGTGTAGTTCGGCATGAATAAAGAGTCCTTTAGCTTGGGGTGCATCTCAGTGATGCAGGTGATGTCTATTTCCTGGGTGTCAAGAAGTTGTTCAAGTTCAGGAGCTTTGGAGGCTTGGATTGTTCGTGTGGTTTGCAGAATGGCCGCCGTAGGATTGGCGACGAATTGGGAAACAGCTGACTCGATGACTGCGTGTAGTGTGACTTGTTATTTGGAGGGCCAAGGAGTGACTTCTGGTTGCCTAAGCCCTTGGTGACTTGGGCGTAGCTCAATTCTTGTTTACGCTAGTTGAGAATGTCGTTGGCCTGATCGACTGCTTTGATAGGTGAGGGCTGTTGCAGTCCTGGTGGTTTTAACAGGTGCTTTTGGGCAGCCTCGATAGGAAGACAAGTGGTCTCCGAAACAATTTGCACTAGACGGCTTGGCGTCCTTGACAGTTCTCGTGGTGCAGACAGGAGTGGCGTGATTGCCTGAGCAGAATGCGCAGACCCACTATGCGTGGCAGTAGTTTGCGGTATGGTAATACTTCTGACAGCGCTTATACCACGGGATAAAGGACGTCTTTTTCTTCGGTTCAACTTTTACACTCAGGCTGCCGATTAAGTGAATTTCGAAGATGGCTGCTTTGAACTCAGGGGTGAAATCGAGATAAACTACGACTAGTGGCCAGACCTGGTTGCCTTTGCGCATATGGTGAACGCTTTTCACTGTCGGAACTTTGGATTGGAGTTTCTTGAGAACTTCGGTGTCTGTGAGGTGCTGTAAATCATCACGGATGACGACCTCGAGGTCACGATCTTGATTTTGTCGGTGGATCGTGTACTTAACCTTGCTTTTCTCCAGTTCAGAGGTTAGGTATCTGAAGTCATCGACTGTCTTGGTGTAGATTTTAACACCGTCGTTAACGTTGACTGCCTTACGGAGTTCGATGTTCTCGGCTGTAAGTGCTGAGTGTATTTTCAGCCAGCGCTTGGACTCGCGTATGACGATTAGTGGAGGAGTTGTTTGACGCTGTGTGAAACTAGGTGCTGGAGTTTCTTTTTCAGGGTCCTTGGTGGACTCTGACTTGGATGAAGAGTCGTTAAAGAGGATGGTTGCTTTAGGGTGTTTTGCTTCAGAAGTTGCCTTGCGTTTCGCACTCCTGATCTGAGTACCGTGGGTTCGACTAGAGGGATTTGCGGTTGATGTGCCAGCAAGTTTTTGTAGGGTGGCGCTTTGAGCGGCGATGGTTGTTCGTAGTTCAGAGATGATGGCGTTTGATTGCGTCAGTTATGGATTCCATGGTGTGGCTGTGATTTTTCTCATGTTTGAGCTTACTTGTAGGACTTGGATGATCTTTGATTTTTCTGGCCTTGATACGGTTAGAAGAGGAGGCCATCCAGGCAGACGTAGAGGTTGACGAGCCCGGGCGAGGCTTGGTAGCAGGAAGACGACTACGCAGTTTCGGCGTCTCTTTTGAGAGGTCTGAACCACGAGAGTGGAGATTCAAAGCCCTGATAAGGGCTGTTTAAGTGTTTTTCTCATGACAGAGTAATTACTGCAGCGAAGTGAACAGTTTGACTGGTGACAGAAGAATGACGATGTTATCGCAAAGCTAGCACGTTATACTAAGGGTGATGATAATCGTTGACTCGATGGGGCATATTATAACCACTCTTTACTATCTTTGATTGTGGGTGGCTTTAATTTCACCTCGACACCACCTAGCGGATCCTACTCTACTAAAGTGCAAAGCTAGTTTATTTTAGAGAAATTTTAAGCTTATTTATCGCTATTGTTATCAACTTTTTCAAGAAAAAAACTATGCGAAAACCATTTCGGAATTTTTAAGAATCAGTATGCAAAATTTCAGCAAAATCGATTTAGTAGTTTTTGTGGTTAGCAATTACAACGGTTTTAGCAACTTTTCTTTATATATTAGTAAGATATGATTAATTGTAGATACGTCAAACTAAAATGTATGGTTATGGATTTCAAAAAAAAAAGATAAAAAAAAAAAAATGATAATGTAAGATGATAAAAGAATAAAAAAACATAAGAAACAAGCGTATCATTTTTTGCGATTTATGGCGTTAATTTTTTCTTACAGACATAAATTTTAGATACAAGAAAGTCATATTTTTTTAAGATCCATGAGTTTTACATTCACTTTGTAATTTGAAATGTAAATGAAAAAAAAAAGTTAGTTGAATAGAGAAAAATGATAATTTTGCAATTTTTCGGCATTTTTTGTGATTTAGAGCGTAAGTTTGGAATCATAACTGAATATGTTAATACAAAAAAGTTATATTTTGACGATATCTAAAACTATCACGTTTAGTTTATTATCTTAAATGCAAAACAAACAACCGGATTGGGGAAAACAGCTATTTATTTCTTTTACAAGCACTTTCCGGCTCATAGAACGTATGAATTACATCCTAGGTGAAAATGTTTTGCACCAAAAAGTTGTATTTTCATGAGATCTACAATTTTTACATTTAATATTTTAACAAAAAATACAACACAAGTAAGTTAGATAGAAAAAAATCTACGTTTTGGCTCACAGAACGTTTGAATTACATCCTGGACTAAAATGTATTACGAAATAGTTGTATATTAGTTATATTTACAACTTTGTCTTTCACAGCAAACCTTTAAAATATCACTTTATAAAGTTATAGCCGAAAAACTGGTTTTTTCAACCGCAAGTACAATCTTAAAATGACTGCCATTTTTTTCTAAAACAGGAAATCTCGCCGATTTCAAACCATCACGTTAGACATAAAAGACGAAGCTCTCTGTCAAATTTTAGCACAATCCAACTAAAACTGCATGAGTTAGTCAAAAAACTTGATTACACCCATACATACATACATACATACATACATACATACATACACACATACATACACTTTTGACGCTGAGGTCCACGATCGCAATTTTTTTCTTACAAAAACTTTTTTTACACAAAAATAATAAGTTTCAAGGGACCTTACACCTTTTGCTTTGGCAAAAATATAAGATACTCTTGAGTAGCAGTCGTGCCTAAAAAAGACTTAAAGAATTGGTCACTACACTACAGGAATAGAGGTCCATATACTTTGTTAATCATAGAGGCAAAGGTGCGTACTCGAAACGGGATATATAAATAAAGAACGATACTGTACAAAAATATTGAAAGACACAGTGACATAAGGTACTTCAAAATATGACAGCATACGAAGTAGACTTAAAAAATGTAAGTTATAGATACCAAAATAAAAATACGTAAAGGAGTAAAAGACATGAAGTTTTAGTTAGGGAGCTTTCTTTGTGGAATTAAAACAAGTAGACAACCAAAAAAGGAGGGCTGGATAATAAAATACACGTTCAGAAAAGAAGGAACAAAAATTTAGAAAAAAAGTGTTCTGACATCAAAATATCTACATTTATATTAAGTACAGAAGTAAGTGTAATGGATAAAAAGGAATAGTCTTATACATAAACGCAGATAGTCATTAGCTAAGTAATTCAATAGAAAGAAAGTGAATACAAAATCTTAGATGTAAAAATAAAAGAATGTAGACATAACCACTTACATGATTAGAGATAAACAGAGATAAAAAGAAAAAGAGACGGATAAAAAATGAGAGTTACAGAAACTTCATTTGTAACATCGTTTATATAACAAAAATTAAAATAACAAAATATATTTTTTTATCAAAAAGTAAAATAGTACAACATTAATTGTTTCAGGTCTCAAATTTTAAAAAACAACCCATCTATTGTATTACGAGAGCCCTCTCTAGCCTTTCGAACTTCTGTACCACCATCACAATTTTTTCCACTGCTTTCAACACCACGAACGCCTCCACGAACTCGCTTAAAGCCGGAGACATCACCAAGTTCCAGTTTAACTACTAATATGAGCTTCAATACTAATGGTTTCGATGACAGATTTGCTGATACCATCCATGGAATAGAAAATAAAACTTTTCAGACGAATATTACGCTGATCGAGCCTTCAAGTACAGACCGAGATCTCACAATGATCTTAGTGCCTGTTGCTGCTGTTTGTGTGCTAGTCTTTTGTTTGAGCGTGGTGGCCTGGTCATCAAGAAAGCACATTTGTATGAGCAAAAAGTCCAAGGAACGGAGCGTAAGTTTGAATATTACTCTGGTTTTATACATATTTTATTTTCGAGTAAAACGCATCTCTATTGATACGAGACTATATACGTATTATTCATTTCCCTTAGTACATGGTCAATCTACAAAAGCTTAAGCATATCATACCAGCAATCTTTTATCTCAATATTTAAATATTAACTAATTAAATTCAAAGTAATTACTACGCAGAGCTTATTGTACTTTGAGAAAACTTTTAAAAAAATTAAATTTGTTATTTACAGAAGGAGCATGGATCGATAAGCATTTCTACTATATCAAATGATCCATTTTTCGATTTAAAGCGATGGCAAAAAGTTGAATCTCATGGCGGTCGATACGAGGCATGGGAAGAAAAAAAGAAACATGGCAATCGTTTCAAGCGGGATGACAAGTGGGAATTTCCAAGACACAGACTTAAGGTGTTTGCAATTTTAGAGAGCATTTGTTAAGAAGCAGGTTAATCATATTTAGAATTAACAAAATAATGTTATTGTCAAATTGCAATATTAAAAAACGTATTAAAAACATTTCGGTGACAACAAAATTTAGAGCGGATACATAACTTATTGGGCCATGTGCAAGTAGTTAGAGAGGAGGAATAGTGTTAAGTGTTATGTTAAGGTTTTTGTGTCATCGTACGTGCGGGTATGAAGGATAAAGGCAGTTCCTTTATTGCAGCATAGGGAACTTTAAATTATGAGTTATATGTATATATTGCTGGAAACTGTTATTAAAGTAAGCAATATTTATAATTGCATCTCAAATATAAAAAAATTTAAATTGGATCACTGAAATTTACTACAAGTGCCAGCTCTGACAAAAGTTTTAAATATGAAATAGCACGCGCACTGTTAACCTCGCTGAAGTCCAAGTATTTACTCGCTGAGACAACCGTTTCACCATAAATTTTACTGTATTAATTGAAATATCCTAATATCTAGCGAGCAAAGTCCTACTAAATTTTGTAAAGAATTATTGTGTGGCATGTAGAACATCATACTAATTTTTTAAATCACCTTTTTATAATTCGAATTACTTTGAACCCAACGTTTTAGAGCTCTTTTTTTGGACCTCCCATAATAGGCTATGCATAAAAACATACATTGAAAATTTATTGCTTAACTCTGCGCGAATAGATCAATCTGAAATTTGGTCAAATCATAGATAATTGCATCAAAATTATATATAAAAAAGTAGCATTGATTTTTCATTACTTTGCTACGACGAAAAAATAACCTGTGATTCCGTAGACAAGAGGCCACTATTTGCTGGTCACGGGGGACAACCTCAGACTGCATCTGGCTAGTAATTATAGATGTCATCAGTTCAAGAAAAATTTATCTTTTAACTTAAAGTTTGAAAAAAAACTTACATTATTGACTTTTACTAATTTAATTCTTATAAAACTGACAGTTACACTATTTTACATTAATTTAAAATAATATTTTACGTATCAAAGGAAGAAAGTACGGCATTACCACCTAATAGGTGTGAGTTGCCAACCAAGCTGGAGGCAAGATGGTGCTATACTTTTTTTTCAAGGCTCGTTTACGATTTTTTATTTTCCTCTTCTGAAAATATGACGTTTTTTCGTGATTTCAGGAAGACAAATGCAACATAACCTTTTAGGTAAAAAAATCCTATTTACTGATATTGGGAAAAGTATTTTGGCGTCCTCTGCGAGGAAATTGGAATGCAGAGAATGCGTATCAAAAAACTTTTCTTACTATCAGTACATGCGATTTTTCACCTGGAAAGAATGTTTTACTTTGCTCCCTGAAAACAGGTATTAAACGCGATGTTTCAGTGGGGGTATGAAAAAAAAAAATTAATATCAAAAGATGGTTTGGAGTCCTAATGGCCTAATAATAAGCATGCCAGTCTCATAGCTTGATAAACTTGAGGGATAGTAGACACAGTTAGATTCTTATGCACGTTAGAATCCCGCATGTAACTAGATTGTGCACCAAAAATTCTATACATAACATTGTTCGTATGTTATCCAAACAGAAATGATTTTATTCGATGAGTTGGTGATAATTATTTATAAAAATTAGAAGAAAATAAAAATAATAATAGGGATGAAAAAATAACCTTAACAGTTTTTAATGTCTAGATTTGAGACAAATAATAAGACTTATTGTTTATAATTGTCTATTACAAGTAAGAATTAAAATTTTTTAATCCTCATTATTTGTAGTTTTTTGTTCACGAGATCAAACGGAACAATTGTACCCGTAAAGATCATTACTTTTCATTAATTTTAATTGTTTTTCTATCTGATACGAAATATAAAACAAGAAAAAAGATCTATTGTTTAAAATCATTAATGATTTTTAGTTTTTGGTAAATCTTTAAAAGTCAAGTAATAGATAGTGATAATTAACCATAAAAGTTCTTCATAGTTCCTACTTTTTTCGGTGTTTCTATAATGACAATTAGGACGAAAGTAATAATTATGAAAAAATAACACTCATTAAACTTTACTACAGTCTCAAATCTGGTGTTTATTAAATATTATTATTAGTGATTATTTGTTTTCGTTACTAAATCATAAAAAAAATGTCCACTTGGGTAATGAAATAAAAGTAGCAATGAGTAAAAAATATTATACACATGGTTTTTATGCATCAAAGAATATGGGAACCATTTACGAACAATAAATTTTTCCTACTTAATTATGAGCAGTGTAATATTTATAAACGAACTTAAAGTTTTTTTTCAATAAGTTCAGTATTTGACAAACAATTTATTTACAAATAATTTTTTATAAATATAAAACGGAAATTTTTTACGGTAAAAATATATTATTGTTATAGCAAATAAAATTGAAAAATGTCTAAAAAACTTAAATTATAAAGAAAACAGGATGCTTTAAAGTTTCAAAATATTTAAAAAACGATAAAAATATTTACTGCTTTTTGAATAACTACTTCGTGATACCTTACAATTTTGTTATGATGTCAATAGTGAACGATTGTGGTATTACATTACTGGAACTACCATGCCCAAAGTGGGGAACTAAGATACTTTATGATAATTTTTCGATACAATAGTGAGACTACTGTAGAATAGTTTAGTCCTTAAGTTGGATGGTAACATTTACATAGTATCACTTACTTTGGCTACGCATTCTATGCAAGTTAGGCAAAAATATTTTAGAGAAATTTTTAGTCACAATAAGGAGCGGATATTTTAAACACTTTTAAAGTCACTTTTTAGAGTTTTATTATAACCAATTTCGAACGTTTTCAAAATACTTTTATATTCATAATGTTTTTTAGACTTTGTATGCTATTAGCATGATCACGAATGAAACATATTGTTAATTGGTGCAGTGTATCCATTTAAAAATGATTTTTCAATATTTTTCATCGATAACCATAGTACCTAATAATTCAAAGCACTTGCGAATAACGTCAATTTTGCACATTGATAATACCTCCTTTGAATCCTTATTTTCCAACTTAAAAGAAATATGTTTGATCGAAATGGATTTTACTAACTAGCATATTTTCCTAGTAATCTTGTGCTTAGTTACTGTTTTTTAAAAATTTACAAAAAGTACCTGAATGTTAGCTATCAATCTGCAAAAAACCATGACAATCATTTTGTGATCACAAAAAAATTTGAATACTGTACTGGATACGGGCGTTATTTATAGAGAATAAAATTAAAAAAAAATAAAAAGAATGATTGATTCGTAAAAATCGACGGAACTAATGCTTTTTATTATTTCCAATTGTCAACAGGTCTTTAACATATTGGGTGAGGGTTGTTTTGGCCAAGTGTGGAGATGCGAGGCCTTGGACATTGGAGCGGCATCGGGACCGACCATAGTAGCAGTAAAGACGCTGAAGGAGAATGCAAGTGAGCGTGAACGCTTAGATCTTGCCCAGGAACTTAAGGTAATGAAGTGCCTTGATCCACACCCGAACATCGTGCGCCTGCTGGGCTGTTGTACTGAGCGTGAACCAATGTTTGTGATTTTGGAGTATGTAAGCGGTGGAAAGCTGCAGAGCTTTCTAAGGGCTTCACGCGAGGCTCGTAATCAAGGCCGTCCTGGACTAACGTCACGAGATCTCACTAGCTTTGTTTATCAGGTTTGTTTACGTTTTTTTTCTTTTCTTTTTTTTCCTTGTTATAAATAAATTCACTAGACAGAGAATTCATTTGATAAAAAAGTTTATTAATTCATAAATTTAAAGACTTATTTTTGTATAGAATAAAGTAATCTTGTACTCAGAAAACAATATTGCGAATTTTATTTTCAATTGTTTATTTTTTATGTTAAGTAAACGTATCCGTCACCAATACTGTGTACAGTTGTATTAAATCGTCTGTAATTTTTCATAAAAACATTCAGAAAGAGAGTACTGCTAAAACGAGTACGCCTAACTCAATAAGTGGCTGAGAGGCGGTGCTATTGTTTCTTTTCATTAAAAAGCAATCAAGATAGTTGTGTAAATGATATATTTAAATATATATATAGTTATATA